GAGTTTGAAGAGCATGTGATGTTACAGTTAAAGTTCTAAGTACTTCATCACAAGGGAAATTAGTCAAGCACTCTGAAAGTGTTTTCACTCTTAATGTGGTGTACAGGGAGATATTAGAATAAGTTTAATCACTTTATCAGTCATTAATCATGTTTTTGTTGTTTTCATATCATGTTTTTGTCATTTTTATATCTTGCCTCTGTTGTTGTTATATCCTTTTGTTACAGTTTATTTATTAATAAATTTATATATTATTTTCATATACATTTTACTAATTTCCTTTCATCTTTCAAACTTCTATTATAGAGAAAGGGAAAATAGCAATATTAAAATATCTCTGCTAATTAATTCCCTTTTTAAAAAAATTCTTTTTATTGACTTTTTACAGAGAGGAAGGGAGAGGAATAGAGAGTTAGAATCATCAATGAGAGAGAAACACCAATCAGCTGCCTCCTGCACACGCCCCACTGGGGATGTGCCCGCAATCAAGGTACATGCCCTTGACTGGAATTGAACCTGGGACCCTTGAGTCCACAGGCCGATGCTCTATCCACTGAGCCAAACCGGTTAGGGCAATTAATTCCCTTTTAATGTGCACAAATTTCGTGCACCGGGCTACTAGTTTGGAGTATAAAATAAACACACTGTATCGGTGCTGGGTCCCTGTGTCCCCATCAAAAGAGGGCAGTGGTCCCACCCGGTCCCAGCTTTTTCTTCCATCTCTGTGTCTGTCTCCTTCTTTCATTTTCTCAATCCCCAGCCGCCCCTACTCAGAGAACTGGACCACTCTCTAGCCGCGCTGGACACGGAAAAGAGAGACCCCCTCCATAGAGGTGGGATTTCAGTGTTGCATTATACTTTGCACTTCAACCAGCCCACATAACCCCGGCCCACTCCAGCCCCTAACCCTGGGGCCTGGCGGGTCCAGGGCACAGCATTGCTCATTAAAGGGAATCCAGGGACAGAGCAGGTGAGGGAGAGGGTCTGCGAGAGCTTCACCAGTCCTGGGCCTGATTCCTGCAGCTGCACGTGGGACGGGACCCGCTGGGCACAAGGAGCATCAGTCCTGTCAGTCACCTGCCATCCATGACCCCTGTCTGACCCCTGAGACCCTCACCTTGGGGGGATGCCAGCAGGCACAGGAGAAGACCCAGCAGTCTCATCTTCTTCTAGAGACATTTGCATGTGGGGACCCTGTTCTCATAAGTGGGAGGGACTGTGTTCAGTCTGACATGTCCTTCTAGGCCCTGAGCACATTCCTTCTCCTGGACTCAATGGTGTGGGTCTGGGATGGGAGAACACCTGGGGTATGACGCACCTTGGAGTCAGGTCAATTGATGGCCCCATCTTTCCAAGTTTAACAATAAATGCTGGACTAGATGAGTGGGTCACACCATTTTAATCTTATGTGCCATGGAATTCATAAAAAAGTGGATCGACATTATGTACAAACATCTTCCCAAGTTGAAAGAAAGACATTAAATAGGTTCAACATTGTAAAATCAGGTAACCACAATTTCATATAAAATAACATTTTCATGTCAGGGAAAATGGAGAGATACAGGAAATAAGTGAGAGATCAGTGAAAATGGAGAGGTAGCAGGATACAAAATGAACATCCAGAAATCAATGGCATTTTGATACACCAATAATGAACTCTCAGAAAGATAAACTGAAAAAACAAACAAAAATCCCATTTACCACTGCAACAAAGGAATTAAGATACGTAGGAAAAAAAACTTAACTAAGGAGGTAAAAGATCCATACTTGGAGAACTATAAGACCCTGAGAAAAGAGATAGAGGAACATATAAACAAGTGAAAAAATATACCATGTTCATGGATCTCTTGAATTAACACCGCTAAAATGTCACTACTACCCAAGGCAATCCACAGATTCAATGCAATTCTTATAAACATACCAAGGGCATACTTCACAGAACTTGGACAAATACTACCAAAACTTATATGGAAGCATAAACGACTCTGAATAGCTGCAGCAATCTTGAAAAAGGAGAACAAAGTTGGAGGGAATCACAATACCGGATATCAAACTATGCTACAAAGCCATTATAATCAAAACAGCCTGATACTAGCACAAGAACAGGCATATAGACCAATGGAAAAGAGAACCCAGAAAGCGACCCAAGCCATTATGCTCAAGTAATATTTGACAAAGGAGGCAAGGACATACAATAGAGTAAAGAGAGCCTCTTCAACAAATGGTGTTGGGAAAACTGGACAGACATATGCAAAAGATGAAACCAGACCACCAACTTACACCCTACACATGAATAAACTCAAAATGGGTAAAAGACTCAAATGTAAGCCATGAAACCATACAAATCCTAAAAGAAAACATAGGCAGTAAAATCTCAGGCTACTCACGTAGCAGAATTTTTGCCAATACATCTAGGGCAAGAGAAAGAAAAATAAAGAACTGGTACTACATCACAATAAAAAGCTTAGGATAAGATGCTACCGAAAATCGGGTGGGTCACCTCCCCCTTAAACTAACCTTTTTCTCTTCATGGGTATAGAAGTCCCAGACGCATTTCCCAGATTGTGAGAAATGGCTGATCTATTTATATTTCAAAGGACGGACTGGGAAACAAAAACATGAGGAAAATGAGACTTTTAATTACACTTCCAAGAGCGGGTGTCCATTTCACAGGATCACTAAGAGACCTAGTAATTAATGGGCTGGAGCCTTTTTTTAGTTACCTCCCTTTGTCTCGGGGAATCTTTCTAGGACCTGTGCTATTGGCCACGTGTACCGCTTGGTACTCTCTCTTCCCATCCCCACATCCTGTTTGCTCTGGGGAAAGTCAGTAATGGCCTGGCCACCTACTGTTTCTTTTCTATGAAGATAAATCAGAGGCCTGCTCACTAGACTAACAATAAGCAATTAAACCAAACAACAAAGACAGGTAAAACAACAGTCAACAGACAAGGTCGCATAATACATAGACAAGACTTAATAAAACAGAGTTCTTTTCATGGATCTTTCAGATTGCCTGGGACTTACAGCCAGATTCGGCCCAGATCTCAGTCTGTTGTTCACAGATCTTATCATATTCTGCTCTCCACAGCGTTGACTGGCGTCTAAAGTCGTTTTAGCTAAAATCTGCCAGTTCCAAGGCGTCAGATGGTGATTTTCAGACAAAGCGTTAGAGTCCTTTTTTAAATTGACTGTTAGCCCCATTTTTCTAGTTGATGAGCCTTCCCACACCAGAGGTGGACGATTGGGGGGCATTATAGGCTCTACCTTCGTTGGAGGGAGGGGGCAGTGGCAAATCCTCCTGGGGTCTGTAGGCTTTTGATCCTCAATACAAAGTGGGCATAATGCAGTTTGAACAAGAGCCAACATAGTTAAAGATGACAAGGGCACTCGTTTTCCTTGAGCCTGATTTAAGAGAGTAACTTTTGACACCTTAATTCCTTTATCCTTGAGCATGGAAGGTACAAATTTACCATGATGTGTTTGCCTTTTACTCAAATTCTGCCCCCATTATAACCTGGCTGATTCCAGAAACGTCCCTGTTCACTTATGGTCGCGACTCTGATGCTGGCACGGGCTTTGTGCGCCAGTGAATTTCCACCTTTCTGGTGAGTTTCCACTTTTAATTTTTCACTTCATTTTTCACTCAGGCAATTCTGCTCCTTCAGTCTCTTGTTTGAGGCACGAATTGCCGCGACCCGCACGCCAAGGTTCAGGATCTGAAGGAGGGAATGACACAAAAATGAAAATGCTATAGAAGAAATATGAATTTAGAAGGCATTGGGGGCCAGGTGGAGACCTCTTTCCTGAAAAGGCACACTGGGCCAGGGGCCATCTCCTATTTATTCAGTTTGAATACACATCTGCCCTTTAGCAATGCACACAGGCAGATCAAAGGTAAAGTTTGGTAAACAATGTAAGGATTATCAGGTCAAGAAATGGCCTCGAGCCATTTTGCCCACAGCAGGGCAGTTTTGTGCTGATATTCAGCCCTGCTGAATATCAAAGTGCATTGGCCTTCCAATGTCTCTTCTGCACTTTCATGCTAATCTCTGTTTGCTTTAGCCTCCAGCAATTGAGTGAAGGAACTAAGCCTCTGTGATCCATCTCCAGCATAGTCAACTTTTAATGGAACTGGTTATGGAATTTCCCCAGAACAAAGAGAATGTGGGGAGGAGGGGAGAAGATACAAGAACAAAGGACTGTGTACATGAGCCAGCATCACAATGGAAACCTCTGAGGCACCCATGACAAAACACCTCCAGCCTACCTCAACTAGACATGGGTAGGTGGAGATAATTAGGAAAGGCTCAGGCACCCACCCTTTTTTCTAAGGAGAGAGAGAGAGAGAAAATCATCAATGATGAGAATCATTGATCGGTTGCCTTTTTCACGCCCTATACTGGTGATCAAGCCCACATCCCAGACATGTGCCCTGACGGAGAATTAGACCATGACCTTCAGCTTTATATGTTGAAGCTCAACCACTGAGCCATGTTGGCCGGGCTTTCCCTTGATTTTAGAGAGACTGGAAGAGAGAGGGAAAGACAGAGAGACCATCAATTGGTTGCCTCCTGCACACACTCTGACCAGGGTACGTGCCCTTGACTTGAATCGAACCTGGGACCTTTTGGTCCACAGACCAACACTCTACCTACTGAGCGAACCCAGCTAGGGTAGCCCTTTTTCTTTTTAATGGCCCAGTGCGAGACAATGAGACCGAGACCACATATGAGGAAAACCGTTAACACCATAGCACTCAGCCAATGAGGAACCAGAGGAGGGACTTTTGCACCCTAGAGAGAAATAGCCTGTGACGGCTACTCCACGTGTGCCTGTAGAGCCCGACACCCTCTCTTTCAAAGATGTGTTAAAAGTCTCGTTTTTGCCATACTTCTGTCTCCAAGCCTGTTACTTCAATCCAGAGAGATGAACATTTCTCACACTGAGGCCCAGTATTCTAGGGCTCATTGTAAGCTTTGCCCTGCCGCAGGTGTCTCCTGAGCTTGACGCTGGGCAGTGCTGCTTCATGGTGACAGTGTTGGTAGTGTTAACATACAAACATTCAGACCTGTAAAGAACTTTGTGAGTTTATTTTAGCCAAACTTTCAATAATTGCTGAGAAGCAGAATCTCAACAGATTGGGATAATGCTCCGGAGAATGGCATTTTTTCACCTTGCTCCATACATTACAATCAAAGGAGGAGACCTACGTGGGTCACATGAAATCCATTGGTGATAGATTCGGGAGGCAGGAGAAAGCAAAGGATGGTGAGATGGGGGGCAACCTCTGGGAATGGATAAAAAGTGAAATGATGGAAACATGTTTTTTAAAATTTCTTTTGCTTCTTTAACTGGGTATTGGATAGTTTACAGGCAACAACTATCATGATAACAATAACAATGAAGGAATCTGTGGTTGCTGTCCTGGAGCCCAGGGCATTTGGTTGTGGCCTGAAGGGGTCTGGAAGAGGGGAAGTTACAAGTTACCCTGACATTTCAATGATATGTTATCACAGATGCAAAAAGACAATAGGCTCAGTTAAGGTAAAGATTGACCTTTGTCAGGGAAGATGCTGCCCTAGGACATGACTACTCACTATAAACTGCTTTTCAATGAAAAGGTTTTCAGCTCAGACCATCCTTTGTGGCTACTATAGGTCTCTGAGTTTGCAAGGCCACCATGCAGGCTTCCCCCGAGCTCGTCCAGTTAGTATGTGGCCATTTCATCTACAGTAGGGAATTTATTTTTTATTTTTTTAATATATTTTATTGATTTTTTACAGAGAGGAAGGGAGAGGAATAGAGAGTTAGAAACATCGATTGTGATGAATTGAATGTCAGTAAAGAATTTTAACAAGGACGGGGTCAAGGATAGGTAACCAGGCATAACTCCAAGTCTCCCACTCCCAGACAGCTGCGCGCCAAGGTCCTGACTAGAGCCTTGTAACTGTAAATCAAGGATGTTTGTGGTTTCTGTGAATAAAAGCTCGCCGAGCACAAAGCTCGGGGCTGTTACAGGAGGGGCCTGTGGCAGACGCTGGCCAGCTCAATAAATCCTCGCTTGCTGTTTAAGACCTAATTGGAGTCGGTGGTCTTATGGTAACCAGGAACTCCAAGTCTCCCACTCCCAGACAGCTGCGCGCCAAGGTCCTGACTAGAGCCTTGTAACTGTAAATCAAGGATGTTTGTGGTTTCTGTGAATAAAAGCTCGCCGAGCACAAAGCTCGGGGCTGTTACAGGAGGGGCCTGTGGCAGACGCTGACCAGCTCAATAAATACTCGCTTGCTGTTTAAGACCTAATTGGAGTCGGTGGTCTTATTCTTGCGAATGTTGGTCCACAGCACAATGAGTGAGAAACATCGATCAGCTGCCTCCTGCACACCCCCTACTGGGGATGTGCCCGCAACCAAGGTACATGCCCTTGACCAGAATCGAACCTGGGACCCTTCAGTCTGCAGGCCGACGCTCTATCGACTGAGCCAAGCCGGTTAGGGCAACAGTAGGGAATTTAACTTTGCTGTGATTACATAACATGTGTGCAAGTAGCTAGAGAGAAGCCTGACATGTATGCAATGGAGACATGGGTCTGCTTCCTTGTCTCTGTGGACGAAAGGGGCCACATGCTGACCTGACAAGCTCAGGAGAGGCCTGCATGGCAGTTTTGCAGACTCAGAGACCTAAAGTAACCACAAAGGATGGTCTGAAATTAAACCTTAACTAAAAGCAGTTATGGTGGGCAGTTACGTTCTAAGCCGATATCTTCACTGATAAGGTCAACCTTTACCGTAACTGAGCCTATCTGTCTTTTTGCATCTAAGATAACATCCCCTTGGGATGTCTGGGTAACTTGTGACTTCCCTTTTTATGGAACCCCTGGGGCACAACCAGGTGTGCTGGGCCCAGGACAGATGCAGCAGATTCTTTCATTTATCATGTTAAATTTTCCTGCACCCACCTAAGTATGTGTCCATCATTTTACTTTTTATCCTATCACAGAGGTTTCCCCACTTCGCTTAATCACACCTCCTTAAACCTGTCACCAATGAATTTCATGTATAAATATGGATGTAACCCTGCCATTCTCCGGAGCACTATCTCAATTCGTTGGCTCAAAGAAACTCACAAAAATTCTTTACGGTTTCAATGGTTTTTTACGTTAACATCTCTTATTTCCACGTCAGCATTCACAGACAGGGTTCCCACCTCCCCCACCTCCACCCCAGCTGAGTGCCTGTCCAGCCCCACCCACTGCCACACCCTGTCATTGTTGCCTCAGCTGACCCAGCCAGGGTAGGTTTTCTGTCATTATGCCCTTGGCAGGAAGTGGCCACAGCAGATGGTGGGGACCAGGCTTCACTGAGGACCCTCCCTCTCTCCGTTCCCATCGACGGTTCTCCCCCACCAAGGGCATGAGGCTGGCAGGGGGCCCCGTCACCCTGAGGATGCCCCTCTTGCTGCTTGGGCTCTGGGTGGTGATGGCTCCCGCCCAGTGTTCTCAAGGCCGCCCCTCCTGGCGCTACATCTCCTCCGAGGTGGTGATTCCCACGAAGGAGCTGCACCACAGCAAAGCCGTGCGGGCAGCAGGCTGGCTCTCCTACAGCCTGAGGTTTGGGGGCCAGAGACACGTCCTCCACATGCGGCGCAAGAGACTCTTTTGGCCTGGACAGCTGGTGATGATGACTCAGGATGACCAGGGGGCCTTGCAGGTGGACTACCCCTTTGTCCCTCTCGACTGTTACTACCTGGGCTACCTGGAGGACGTCCCTCTCTCCATGGTCACCGTGGACACGTGCTATGGGGGCCTGGAAGGCATCATGAAGGTGGACGACCTTGCCTATGAAATCAAACCCCTCAAGGATTCCCAGAGGTTTGAGCATATCGTTTCTCAGATCTTAGCCGACACTAACGCCATAGGACCCATGTCCAGTCTGGGACACAAGGCTGAGAGGTACCCGCTGCTCTCTGACCCGAACCCCAGTGCAGCCTCCAGGGTCAGCAGTAAGATCTATGCATCCCACAGTGGAGCTATGAAAGGCTGTCTTATGAGTGCCCATTCCATTTATACTCTGTACAACAATGTGTCACAGTGTGCCCAATACCTGGTACATATAGGTAGTATGATAGACGCCATGTTCAGAGGTCTTAATATGAGGTACTACATCGGCCTCATGGTCATTTACAATGTGAGAGAGCCAACTCTGTACAGCAATGTGTCACAGTGTGCCCAATACCTGGTACATCTAGGTAGTTTAATAGACGCCATGTTTCAAGGTCTCGAAATGAGGTACTACATCGGCCTCATCATCATTTATGAGGGAGAGCCAACCGATATAAGCAACAATGATGCGTCATATGGTCCATTTGCTCAGAATTATGGTTACAACATTTATGATGTATTTAAGCCACATTCAGCCATAATCATGAAAAGAGATGGGCCCCATGAACTTGATTTTGATCCATTTCTCTATGGATTATGCACAAGATATAGTCTCATCTTTCTGGTCACCTATCCAGACATCATTTATTGTCATCGACTATAGCCTCCCACCAAATAGGGGCCTGTTTTGGTCTGTGGTTAGATACGATGGACTGTGTTTGCCAGAGAAGGACCACCTGCATCATGTCCAGTTACCCTGTGTTGACAGATTCATTCAGTAACTGTTCCTTTGTACACACACAACACATACTTAATAATAATATACAACTCTGCCTCTTCAAAGAAAGAGGGAAGCTGGTGTATTCAAACAGTAGCCTGACAACCATTCGATGTGGAAACTCTGTGGTGGAAAACCGAGAGCAGTGTGACTGTGGGACCTTCAAGCAGTGTTACAGCAACATGTGCTGTGAAAGTGACTGCCGCTTTACACCTGGGAGCATTTGTAACAGAGAAACGTGCTGCACAAACTGCACCCACGCGCCTGCAGGGACGCTCTGCAGACCGATCCAGAACATCTGTGACCTTCCGGAGTACTGCAAGGGGAAGGACACGAATTGCCCCAGTGACTTTTATCTGCAAGATGGAACCCCGTGCACTGAGGACGGCTACTGCTATGAGGGCAATTGTACCGACCGCAGTATGCACTGCAAGGAGATCTTTGGGGAGGGGGCGCTGAGCGCGCCAGACGTCTGCTACAGCATCAATAAAAAGGGCCACCGATTTGGAAACTGTAAAGTTACGGTTGGATTTCGCCCAATGCCTTGTGCTGATGCTGACGTTATGTGTGGACGCCTACAGTGTGTCAACGTCACTCATCTGCCTCGGTTGCAGGAACATGTGGGCTTCCATCACTCAATCATAGGGGGGTCCTTGTGTTTTGGGGTGGGTGCACACCGTGGGACAGAAAGCACTGATGTTGGTGCTGTGAGACCTGGTACTCCCTGCGGCGGTGGAAAGTTTTGTCTTCAGGGCTTCTGCAATGCTACCCTGGCGGCCATAGACTACAACTGTCCCCCTTCGAAATGCAACTACAGGGGCGTGTGCAACAATAACAGGAACTGCCATTGCCATGTAGGCTGGGACCCTCCCCTGTGCATTAACAGTGGTGCGGGAGGGAGTGTGGACAGCGGACCGGCTCCAAGAAGAAGGCGGTCAGTGAGGGCAGGTGGTATGTCACTGGTGTATTTGAGAGTGGTTTTTGGTCGCTTGCTTGCCCTCATAGCGGCACTCCTCTTCGGCGTAGCCACGAATGTGAGAACTATCCAGACCACTACAGTCACTGAAGTGAAAGTTCCTGGAAAGTAAACAGCAAGTCAGCCTTCCGACCCCTGGACAACTCAGGCAACATGAAGAAACACCTGAAAAAAGTCACCATAACCAGCTGGCAGAGCTCAAGTCCACACTTCTTAGAAGCTGCAGGAGTCCTGCCCCACATCCAGGGTGAGCCCAGTGTGGGCATTTTCACACCACTCCCTCTGACAGCTCGCTGGCCAGCGTCTGCAATAAAGCCTGAGCACTGAGTGTTGGCGTCCTGTGCAGTTCTTGTAGGTCTGTAAGAGCCCTGAACGAGCCTGAGACTCAGGCCTGGAGAGGAGACCTGGTCAGCAGCTGGGCTTGTGCTGTGGATGCCTGTCCCAGGATTAGTGATAGTGGCCACAGGTTCCTTTAGGACCAATTTCTGTCAATTCCCCACAATCGTGCCCTTCAGCACCGAGTGTCCCCCAGTCCCTAGGTCAGGTCTCCTTCTCTAAACAGGTTGGGCTCAGGGCAATGGGCGTGCTCCTGGCCCCCAACCCTGCCTGTTTCACACAGGGTGGCTGCGGGTGTGGGCTGCGAGTGAGGGTTCCATGTCTGCTAGTGACACCTGAGCCCCCTGGAGAGCACCCTTTCCTGTGTGGCGGCAGATCAGTCAGTGGCACTCAATCAGAAGGAGGAAGAAGTGGCCCTCCTGACGCTGACCCAGAGTGAGAAGGCAAGCCGAGAGCAGATAGCCCTCCCCTCCTTACTCCTCCAGAACCATCCTCATGGTTCCTGTCATCTCACTTGCTTCTCCCATCAGCCAACCACCCAGGCTGCCACATGTGTGGAAAGACCCCCGAATACCGGAAGCTTATCATGTATCGAAAAAGGTCAGAACCCGGACGCAGGGCTCAGCCTCTGGAGAGAACTCCGCTGAGCCCACAGCAGTGCAAATAAAAGTCTTTTTCTGAACCTCCGAGTACTTTTGGATTGTCGCTTCTGCCCAGCCTGATTTCTGCCATAACATTTGTTTTCCTGACCGAGAAGCCAAGAGCCACTCTGGCCCTTTCAGCCACCATTGTTGGAAGCCAGCAGAGGAGGCTGCTAATTTTGGGTCCCTGCAATGGACAGGAAGGCACACCGCCAGTGATTTCACTGGGCCCTGACCGTCGCCGGGCCGGCAGTGTTCAGCCACTGCTGTGCTGAACGGACTCCAGGGAAGACAATAAAGTCTGCCAGGACCAGGACATCAGACCAGTAAGTGTCCCCGGGGACCCTGGACCGAGTTCAGGCCCGCCTTTAAGGCGGAAGGTGAGCTTGGTCACCTCCTGAGCGGCGTGGTCACCGCATAGGATAGGAGACTCCTGGGGTGGGAGTCTTGAACTCTGTGTGAAGCTGTGTGCACGTGTGTGTGAGTGACTGTGCCCCACGGTGTCAGCTACGGAGCCTGAGTGAGTCCCACATTGCGGTTCTGTGGTGACCTCATATGGCTTTGGGTGGTGTCAGGTTCTGTGGGACACTGTCCCTCCCGGTGGACCTGATCCGGGTCAGGGGCTTATACTGACCTACCAGTGCTAAGAGGCACCTAACTCCCCGTGAGGGAAGTGGCCAGGTGGACGACAGGAAGAACTCTCCTTTGCTTGTCTTGTGACACTGTTCACTGGGAGGGTTTTAGTTCATCATTTTGGACCCCATCATGGGGGGAGCTCCTCAAAACATACCGTTCTGGAATGTATGATTAAAAAGTTTAAGAAAGGGTTCTCTGCTGGAAACCAAGACCAACAGTAATTAATATAAATGTGAGGAGTCTGGCAGAAGGCTAGCCGGGACTCCTTCTGATATTCACAGGGTGAATATTTACATTTTATTACCTGCTGCTGACTCAATGGCCTAAAGCACACTCCCCCAAAACCTGACAATCTTACTGTTTACTAAACATTACCATTGATATGCCTGTCCGCATTCCTAAAGGCAGGTGTGTATCCTAGTAAGTAAAAGCAGGTGGGAACGGAGACTCAGCGGGAACTTGACTTCTCTAGTTGAGTTTTCCTCTGGTTTCCCCCAGTAATTCTAAAAATTAATATTCCTATGTCTTGCTTGTCAATTTGTGCGTCAGCTCTTTCTCCAAGCCTTTGAACCTGAAAGCCACGCTGGCCGTGGCCTTTCACAATTGGTGCTCTGAACAGGATCTTGGAGGAAAAGGATTCGCCAGAGCAGAAAATATCACCTTACCTGGCGGTGGAAGTTTAACTGCTTGCAAAACTCGTGTCAGCTGCGGAAGCCCGCGGATTCTTAAGTGCTTGAGTGATTTCTTTTGTTTCAACCAGATCAAAATGGGGCAGAATTTGTTGAGAGAGGAGAGACTTTCCTATAGACTTCTAACTTGCTTATTAAAGGATAAGGGAGTTGCAGTTTCAGAAGATCTTCTTTTACAGTTTCTACAGATTATTAGCTACACTAATAAAAGACAAACATGCAAATTGACCATACCTTCGCTACGCCTTAAGCCACGCCCACCAGCCAATCAGAGCAGCTATATGCAAATTAACCCAACCAAGATGGCAGCCGTCAGCCACGGAGCTGGAGCAAGCAGGAGGCTTGGTTGCCCCAATGATGGAGGAAGCCAAGCTTCCCCGCCTGCCCTGGCGGCTCTGAGCTCCACTCAAAGCAACAAAGTTTCAATTATAGAAGGTAAATAAACCCCAGATACCTGCTTTCAGCCGGCCATGGCCACGGAGCTGGAGCGAGCAGGAGGCTTCCCTCCCGCCCGCCCTGGCTGGCTCTAAGCTCCTCTCAAGGCTACAAAGTTTCAATTATAGAAGGTAAATAAACCCTAGGATAAAAAAAAAAAGAAAGAAAAAAAGAAAGGCTGGGAGCTTCCGTCGCCGGGGGGATTTGCCAGCCTGAAAATGGCCCTCAGCCCCTCACCC